CACATCCACAGATGTGTGAGATCTACCTTGGATAAATTTCCATCTCTGGAATAGCCACACTTAGAGGCTGAATCTAACCTAGTTCATTCAATGCTTGTGGACAAAGGTGCTTTTATAAAAATTATTGTTCAGTACAGATTTCAGCTATGGGGACTGTTGTGTTGAGAACTTGCCAGAAAATCTGCTTAACCTGTGAGATAAATAAGATTAAAACCTGCTTCTCCAGGAGATATATAGCTTAGGGGGAAAAAATGAAGCTGTAAATACTTTTTTTGTCTGAAGGGGTGTTTGAATGCTGGATTCAGATGTCTGTTAGGAAGTCAGATGTTTTCCTCCTTGTGGTGACCTTTTTACCTCACTGTGATTAAGAGACTTTTGCTTGCTGATGGGTGAGAATCAGCTGTCCTTACAAATTTGATGATGAAGTACTCTTCTGTCTGCCAATTAGAGATGGGGGAGAAAAGATGGTCTTCCTCAGCTTTCTGCAATTTGGTTTGATTATTAGTTGAGTAGTCCCATGATGAAATATGCACTCATGCTTTCTCACTATTGTTTATGTGTGCTTAGATTCTGTAAGACAGTTACTTTTTGTAATTTTTATTTTATTTCGCAGTTCTTTAAAAGTTCAGAAGCATAACTGTATGGAACACAGGTCTGACTGGCTTGGATAATTTGGGATAAATTTGGGGCCAGGTGTATGGTAAAATGCTAAACCTCAGTTTTTCTTGAGGAAGTTTAGTATCTGGGTACTCTAAATGAGCTTCTCATGTCACCTGAGCACTCAACAGACAAGATATTAATATTTTGTCTTGGTTGCAATTCTGAAACTCTTTTGCTTAGCTATGAAGAAACCAAGATTTAGGTTGAAGCTATGATTGTACCCACAGTCTGTGTCTTATGAAGGTTTATGTGATGGAAATGATAATTTCACTGTATGTATAACTTAATCAGAAAACTCTTGCAATGCAATTTATTCTTCCATTTACCACTTAGAAAAAACTAAAAACCTCTGCCTAGAGCCAGTGGCCTGAGGTAATTTCATTGATTTTTGAATGTCAAATGCAGAAAAAAAATTTTCCATGGTACTTTTAAAGTTTCTTAAAATCCCAAATCAGATCATTCTCTGTCCTCTGATCTCAGTTGGTTGGCATTTATGGGCCTTGAATCAGCATCTTTGGTGATGTTATGAGGAAAGTTTCCATACTGATGAGCTGCCCTGGAATGCGTTCTCCTATAATATGGTCATCACAGGGTTTTTGTTAATAGCAACCTTTCAGAGCTCTTGCATCCTGCTACTATTTTGTTAAGCTTTTAAACAGCATGTGGGGATGTTCTTTTTTATATTTAGACTTGAATTATTCTAATGCTCATCTCAATTTGCAGTTTTATACTTTGTAGTTAAAGAGTTTTATAGCAGTGTGATGCTGACTGAAAAATGGGGATTTTTTTTGCAATCACACAGTTGCATATATGTTGTATTGTAAATCACAAAATATCCCTCTGTTTCTTATTGTAATTCAGATTTTTTTTTAAACTATGATGAATAAAAAGACACAAAAAGTGATGTCACAGGCAGGATGCAAGAATTGAGATCACTCATGTCCTAGATTCCCACATTGAGAGGGAGCTTTTCATTGAGGCTGCTCATGACATCCCAGAAACGTCCTACATTCACTTCTGTACATTTCCTTTTGTAAAGAAATTGCATTTCCTTTTGCAAAGAAATTGCAAGAAGTAAACCAAAGGCTTAAGTCCTGCACAGTGCTAGATCTTGGAGAAGAAAATCCTTTTTGGCTCAACTTTGTCACTCAGAGACATGAGTTAGGCCCTCTCACTGGAGATCTGGAGGTTTTTCTCCGCCACTGAAAGCAATCTCTTGTTTCCTGTCATTAGCAGTATCCAAAGAAGATTTTAAATAGTGAAAAGCAAACAAAAAGAACATTTTCCAAAAGCCAGATTACATGCTGGGAAGGGAGCGGTGCTATGGCACTTCTGGAAATGCTTCAAAAGTATTGAAAGTGCCTGAAGGCATCAGGGGAATATGACATAAATACTGTGTAATAATATTAATTCAGAAATTGTGGCCCACATCATTCTCTCATAGAGTCACTGACGCTCTTTTATAAACATCTTCCTAAAAAATTTTGAATTTATCATTCCTATTGGGATTGGAGGAGGATAGCCCTGTCATTTTAGAATTTAGGACTTGCCTATTAATTTCCCCTCTAGCAATTTTGGTACTTGCAATTCATGTGTACAACTTGCTCTGTAAAGTTATAATAGTTACAAAACTTCTTTTAAAAACATTTTAAAAAATAAATAGAGATAAATTCCTATTCCAGGGATGAAATTAAGCACGGAAAATAATAAAACAGACGGACATGGGAGGTACCAAAATAAAATTAAAATAAATGGGAATACAAGTGTTTGAGAAACCTTACTTAGTAAAAAACCCTCAATGTCCTTGATTATCTGTTTACCATTAAGATCCCTTTAAATGGCAATACAGAGGTTTAATGGGAACAGTTGCAATGTATGAGCAATGCAAATGTACTGCTTGCTTTTTACTTTGATAATGATCATTATTGAATTCCCAAATGTACATGTTGGGATTTGAATGCTCTTCCTGTAGTTTTGGTGAGTTATTTAATCTTTTTCTAATGAAATAGCTGCAATCTCCACAATTTTATAATTGTTAAAGTATTTTAGTCAAATTAGCACTGAGAGAGTGACATTTCCCTTCAGCAATGCTTTAGCATTTAAGTGATCAATCTAAAATTTTGTTGTTGATGTAAGTGGACTAACACAGACTTCCAGGCAATTTGATCTTCATTGAAAATTACTGAAATTATAATTGCATTAAATTATTAATTGAAACTTCTGGATGAAGAACATAGTAGTGATACTGCCTTTGTTATGCAAGTCCTATATCTACATTCAAAATTCTGTTAGATAAGAAGCTTCTGGCAAAAAAATTTATCACGAGACTTGTTCAGAAAACTAACATCTTCCTGTGGAGATGTTTTAAACTGTGCCAGTTCCTGGTTTTGGCTCTGTCTCCCTCTGGACATTTTAAATAGAACTGATTAGAAATTATATGGAAATGATAACCGCTGAATGACTTCTGAATCAGTGTGAGCTGCTTAAAATGTCTCTAAAATTTGGTTTCATTATATAATCCTATCTAGTTTCATCCAGGTGTTGTTACTCAGTGTTTATTTGTCCAGGTAAGAGCTGCAGATAAATCAGTGCATGCAGCTTCACTGAGACAATTCTGGCTCTTTGAGGCAGGGTTGGATGGCTGGCTCAGGGCCTGTGCTTGTGCAAGGACATCTGTCAGAGGAGGGTCCTTCCCTCGCTTTTGGGAAGCTGGCAGAGGCTGGGAGCCAGGGTCCAGCTGCCTCTTCTGCGGGCAGCAGCTCATCCTTGTGTGGCTGCTGCCAAGCTCTCAAGTGGCCATGGGCTCCAGTGTGGTAATTTTGATTTAAAAAGTCCCTGCGCTGCTGGCTCTTTTTGGAAATAGATTCTGCTATGGCATGCTGCAGCATATCAGCTGCTGTAGACACATCCAAGACTGTGTTTTAAAGTCTGTTGAACTAGTCAGGAAGAGATAAAACTTGTGTATAGTCAGGTCTGTAAAGTGAATTGCAGTAAACTTGGTTTCAATTAAAGGAAAGAGTATTTACACTGCTTTTATCTACTGGTTTAATGACATGGTTTAACATCACATCTTCAGTGCTGTGTGGACAATTTCATTGTGCAGACCAGCTCTTAGTCAGATGAAAACTTCCTTAAATTAGTGGGTTGAGACTGAGAACTCTCAGATGCTACTCTGATATGTCCATGTTTTTTTTCCTTCCTTTGTATATGTGTGTGGTATACGTGCATTGTAAACCCAAGAAACTGTAAGCACTTCTGCACCATGGTTTTTGTCTCTGTAGTGGGAATAGTTCTTTCCTCTCCTACTGTCTGCACTACAGTAAAGTCCTGTAACAAAAGGTGCTTATATAAAACAAGTAATTATCAGACTGAGATCTTAAATAGAAAGTTGATATGACTTGATTTTTGAGGGAAGATGTTTTTCTGGTAGAAATTCTTCTTTGTCTCCGTTTCTCGAGAGTGGCAGTGACTTCTGACATTGATTCTCCAGTTTTTGTTGTGAGGTTTTTTTTTTTATTTTTTCTTGTGAGTGATAAATATTCCTCTTTCTTAAGTGTGACTTTGGAAACCAGGTAGGACTGTGAGTAATTCTCAAGTAGGAAACCCCTTCCTTCACGTTTTGGGTCAAGAGAGTTTGTCAGCTGAGGACTGCTGTAAAAACAAATCATAACCCTGTCTTCTTCCAAAATCATTCCAGTGTCACAGCCTATGTAGTCCACTGAAAAACCATCTAATCAAGATATTGCAAATGGGTTGTAATTCTTAGTCCAGCTCAACACAGTTTCCAGAGTTATTGTTTGTCCAGAGTACATTTATCACAAGGAAAATCAATTGTCATGCTTTGAATAGATGTAAAAATGTAACATTTTTTGCGACTATATGGAATTTCAGTTGGAGCCATTGGCTTTTGTTTAATCTTGGAAATAAAGCTGGTTCTAGGAGTGCAAATGTGTGTTGTCCTTGAGGATCTCCTCCATTTTAGGTGAGTGTAGTTGTTGTAAAGGCATGGAATTGTGGGTGAAAGGACAGCACTCCTTATTGTTTAGGAAACCACAGGTTTTTAGTAAAGCAAAATGGCTGTAGCATCTCTTTCATCCACCTTGAAGTAACTTGGTAAAAACTGACTTATTAATGGGGAATTCTGTGATCATTTAAGATGTTTTTAGTTTTTATTTAGAAAAAAGTAAGAGAAGGTTCAACCAGACCTTATTGTTTATTTTATAGATATGCCCAAGCAAAGTTATTTTTGCTTTTTCACAGCTTTTGGTCTAAACATTATTTTTGTTGGTATAATAATTGATCTTAAAACATTTTGTTTTCTTCTTATTTTGTTGATCCAGTGGGAAGAGATCAGCGGTGTTGACGAGCATTACACTCCGATCAGGACTTACCAAGTGTGCAATGTCATGGATCACAGCCAGAACAATTGGCTGCGGACGAACTGGATCCCGCGCAACTCGGCTCAGAAGATCTACGTGGAGCTCAAGTTCACCCTGAGGGACTGCAACAGCATCCCCCTGGTGCTGGGCACCTGCAAAGAGACCTTCAACCTTTATTACATGGAGTCTGACGACGACCACTCGGTCAAGTTCAAGGAGCACCAGTTTACAAAGATCGACACCATCGCGGCCGACGAGAGCTTCACGCAGATGGACCTGGGCGACCGAATCCTCAAGCTGAACACGGAGATCCGTGAGGTGGGGCCCATCAGCAGGAAGGGCTTCTACCTGGCTTTCCAGGACGTGGGCGCCTGCGTGGCCTTAGTGTCGGTGCGGGTCTACTTCAAGAAGTGCCCTTTCACCGTCAAGAACCTGGCCATGTTCCCAGACACGGTGCCCATGGACTCCCAGTCGCTGGTGGAGGTGAGGGGCTCCTGTGTCAACCACTCCAAGGAGGAGGAGCCCCCCAAGATGTACTGCAGCACGGAGGGAGAGTGGCTGGTGCCCATCGGGAAGTGCTTGTGCAACGCTGGCTACGAGGAGAGAGGCTTTGCCTGCCAAGGTAACCGTGCCCTGCGTGCCCTGCTCTGCTCTGAGCTGGGGCTCCCCCTGCTCCCGCTGTTGGGCTGTGCTCCTTTTCTCCACGTTCTGAATCCCTGCAGAAATATCAGTCAGTTAGGTGGGGGTTTGGTCAAGCTGTGTTAATAACGTAATCTTCTAAAAATATTTGGTAAGAGTCAACAGCTGATTTTTAGTAGCACATTGTGCAGCAAATCTAGCCTCTCTTACCACTCTTGGACCTTCTTCCATTTTCTTAAATGTTTGTGTCAAAAAAGTGATTTTTTTTTCCAGTGTCGTCTTGTCTTTTATACTTTGTGTCTTGACATATGATTTCTGCCAATGAGCTGTGTTGATTAATTGGAATTGGTTGGTAAAAAAGATATGGTATTGCTCCTGTAGCATAAATTATTAAATGCAGATACATTTGGAAGATTAATAGTTCAAGTTTATTCATAAATACTCATGTATTTTAACTCTATCTTCTCCAAACTTTTGGTTTCTGCTAACTGTGGTTATGTGAATGCTCCTAAGAACAAGAGTACACTGGGGATTTGGATTTTTTACAGAAATGGTCCTTCTTAGAAATCTTAGAGAAATGCATGTTGTGTTTACTAATTTTGTTATCAAGCAAGATGATAGTAGCTAATATTTTATTCTTTTTATAAAATTACATTTTGAAGCTTTGTGCTGATTCAGTCTTTTCACAGTGTGCCTCGAAGGGTGCTGGCTGTGGCAAAGGGTCTTCTGTTAAATATACAAGTAAAAATTAAACAGTAATGTCTGGAAATCACATGGTTGGAAGCACAATAGCTGAAATGTTTACTGTGGGGTGTGTGTATGTTTAGAACAGAAAGTTTAAAGTATTCTGAGCCTGGCTGGGACAGTGCCTACTCCTTTTTAATTAGTCCTACAGCAATGCATATATCAATCAAGTCCTGGGGAGTTACTGAGAGCCCAACAAACCATAGCCATGACTTTTTCTCAGACAATGACAGGTGGACATTTGGGGGAAGGGGTAAGAGTATTCTTCCTTTGATTTTTCTTTTCGGTAGATTTTAAATAATCTTTTGCCCTTGAATAAGTTGAGTAGCCAGGTACGAGAATGCTTTTCTGGGGTTAGATACTGTTACTTATAAAAAACAAAGTAAGCTCTTCTGTTAAGAGCTGAATTCAGGGGAGGATATTTTATTGTTCAAAAATCCTTTTTCCAGGGCCTCCTAAAGCTCTTAGAAATGCTAAAACATGAGTGAATCTTTTATCCACTGTGTATATTCTTGCTTGCTGCAGAGCCTGTGTTCTGTGAATGGTTGGAAGCTGTTGGTTTAGAGTTTCAGTCACACGTGAGCACAGAGAGACTGCAACTGAGCAAAAGTAAAGCTAAATAAATTAAACTGAACTTTTATTAAAAACAAGTTCTCAAAAGCTTGAGGCAGGCAAGGCAGCTCCTACTGAGTTCTGCAGAGAAAATCAGACCATAGAATGAATATATTTTTCTGGTTTGTTTTTTTTCCTCTCACTCACGGTTGATCAAGGGAGTTTTATATGATGAAGCCATTAACCGTAGCAACAGGTCCTTCTGGTTTATTCTGTTGTAACATAGAATGTTCTACTAACCTTTATTGGAAGTAATATTGATCAGTTCCTTTCAGTGTGCTGTGATTGAAGTGGCTCTTTAAAAGCAGGAACTCAAAACCTCTCGTTTGTTGGTATCAATGGTGCAGCAGGAGTTGGAAAACTCAAAAAAGCAGCTCAGCTTTGACCTCAGGATCAAGGCTGCTCCTGCATCTTGCCTTTTCTTTTTCTTCTTTTCTTCTCTTGCTTCATCTCTTAGGGTGTTTAAGGATTTTTGTGTTTGTTTAAGGATTTTTGTGTTTGTTTGGGATTTTTTGTTTTGGTTTTTTTGTCAGTGAGAGGGCAGTAGAATCAGGGTTGTGGCAATGTAACCCCAGAACGGTGTTACAAGCAGGGGCTGGAATGAAGACATAACTTAGGAAAAATAAGTTTTAGTTGAAATCTGAAGGAATAAGTAGTAGTAGAGGTTATTGTCTTCCCAGTGGCTGAAAACATTTAAGAGCTTCTCAAGCTCAAGATCTTAAGAAATCACTACTTGATCCTGTGTTCAGATGGTTTCTGATTTTGTTTGTTTCCATAATGCAGGTTTCATAAACAATGTCATTTTGCATTAGCAGGAGATTATCACTGAGAACTACAAGGAAGGACCTTAATAGTGTAAGATGAGCCTATTTAAATTCCATTCAGAACAGTTTTTCTTTGTACTTGGAAAATTAGACACAGTCATGGCCTCCCAAATAACAAAAATGTCACCAATTTCCTTAACTGCTTTCTTTTCTCTGCAGAACCAGGAAAAGTCAACATAAACTCAGACCAGTTTTTCTTATTAGTGCACATTTTTATAACACATTTATGGGTAAGCTATGAAAGCCAGCTCAGCTGATGGGTTCTTTCTGGGTGGAATATTGTTTTGCTCTGGATCCTGTTGAGTGATTTTTTCCTGTACAGCAGCAACATCCCTACCTGTCAGTCAGCAAAAGAATTTCACTGTGACCATCCTTGTCCTCCTTATTGTGTGTTTGTAGAGCAAAGATTTCCCAAAAATGATACACTTGAGGTTAACAGCTTAATATTTAATTCCTCCTCTAGCAAAGGCTTGTGCACCTGTTCAGTGTTTTGGAAGAATTAGAGTTTGTCTGATGTAAAGTAAGATGTGTTGGGGAGTAAGTTGGAAAAAGCACCCTTTCATACCCATTTTTCACCTAATTAATACATATAGTAGTTAATTAAAATGGTACATATCATACACTGTAGGCTGTTTGTTATTACAGGTTTTTGGCATCACAAGGATCCTGTCTATTTAATCTTATTTTAATATTACATGGCTGAGTGGGCCTTCTTCCTCACAGTATCTTTTATAAATTGTATTTTCCTGTCACTTTGACCAAACTACATTTTCCTGGCATCTTCTCTTTTAGAATTAGTGTGTTTTAATTAGGGGAGAAAAAAACCCAATTGGAGGGAACTAGACACTTAACTTAATGCTTTCTAATAATCTCCATCCTGATCCTCAGTCAACAAGGAAAAATCATCTTTTCAATTTGTTCCCCATCGAAGAGGCAGAGTAGATCAGGTTAGATCTGCCTTACTCTTCTTGCTCTGACAGTGACTAGTGGCATCCTCCTAAGGAAACTAAGGGAAAGTGTAAGAAATTATATAAAAGTGCTGCTTTCCTGGGCAAAGCTTCTGCCAATCTACTGCTGACCTTTGAAGATTTAAGATGCATTTTGTAAGAAAGATTATATACAATAGGAGTCAGTGACCAGTCTCTTGGTAATTTGTCTATATTTTGACTCATTTATATTTTTAATCTCTTAATTTTTGTGTCAGTGAATGCCATATCTTGCCTTGTGTAGAAACCATAACTTCTTGCTGTGTTTAACCCTTCTCTTTTAGAGTCACTGGGATAAGGTTTAGCATATCCCTGTATAGTAAGGAAGTAAGTGCTCCCTTTTCAGCATCCATATGAACAAATTTCAAAACCTTTTTCATGTCTAATGTCTCTTGTCTGAGCTTTTCCCCTCTACTGGTGCCTTCTTTTTTAAAGGACAGACTGGTTGCTCTGTACCTCATCCGTTTGACTGCCTCTGTACATATTCGAGGTAAACGTGGTTTTTATGATGGCAATGAATCTTGTGTGCACTATTTAAGTTGCAGGTGCAGGAGGAGATGAGACAGTGGCTTAGAGTTTGGAACAGCCCAGAGATTGAGTTAAAAAAGGGGCATTCACGTCACCTGCCCAGTGAGGGATCTGTACATGGAAAAGCTTGACTCAGTTTTATTTTGAACACTATAGAAGAAATAGATCTCAATCTCTGAGGTTTGGTTAGTTGGGGTATTGATACCAAAATAAATGAGAAAATGTAAGATAAATGGCAGAAAAACTATCTGTAGTTCTGTAATGATCTGGAGGGCTTCTCAGGGAAATAATGGATGCTTCATTTCAGGAGTTGTTTTTTAAAAAATTGCAGGAACCAGATCATAAAGAAAATCCTGCACTGGCAGGTTTGGACTGCTAAATCTTTTCCATCCTGAATGTGTCTATTCTGTTGGTTTCACGCACTTCAGGAAGACCAGTTAGACATGAAAAATGTTATTTTTCATTGTAGTATATTTAATTAGCAAGTCTGCAGTGGGCTATTGTTTATCCATGTGGGACTATGAGCTTGAATCCTCTTTTGAAGGCTTCCAACAGGTGACCCTCTATACCAAAACCAAATTTTCTGGCTCTGTTTAATAAATGAAAAATTTAAATTGGTGGGCCTGAACAGAATGACCCAAAAAGCAGAGAATAACATTTTCTGCATGGTGTTGTTTCAAGGTATAGTTCTAAATTTTAGTTGCTGGAATTGAGTAAATCTGAACTGTAAATTTCCTATGTAATGCTATGTAATATAGTTGTAAGTTTTAATCATGAGTGACTGATACATTTTCTATAACAAAGCCAGAAGGAAAAAGAATGTAACCCAACAGTTCCTCCTTATGTGTTTAACTTTTAGCTATTAATCAGGTGGATTGAATGGGAGAAAAGGGAGTGAGGGGTAAAGGAGGGAGAGGATAAGTTCACCCACTGTGCCTGGTTATTGCAAAAATGACTTCAGAAAATTTCCCTAACACTAAATTTTTCAGTGTTTCAAGTTGTGCAGTGAGCATCTCCTAAATCATATTTCTCTCTCTGAGTTTCTGGAGATATGAAAGGAATGCCATCTGTGGCTGCTAAATCTGAACCATCACGTCCATTGCCTATTTCTTTGAGTGGAGTGACTGCTGCACTTGTGGTAAAAATATGTACAACATCATTAATACCAAGGAAGCAAATTTCTCCAGACTCCTTTTTTGCCTCTATGCTTTAAATAACCATTTTGTCTCTGCATAAGTAAATCTAATTTTTACTTTTCTAGATCAGTAAGAAAAAAAATTATGACTTTG